AGACCTAAAGATAGGCCGTGACTCGGAACACTCCATATACATTGTGTGAACTTGATTGATTGAATATCACTTCCAACAACGCTGTGTTTCAACACCGTTCTCCTTGAACAGTGCAAACGCGACCTCGATTGCCTCGCTCACCGAGATCAAATTCGCCGCCACCCCCGGGACATACATCACGTTTTGCAAGAGAGACCAGGCTTTCTCCGGTCGGTGTCGCACACACCGCAACTCTACCGAGCCGCTCCCCTCTGCCCATCCGGTTCCCTTGTCTCCGAACGGGCATTCTCGGCCACTCCCCCCGAACATTGCGAGGGTCTCAAATAGGCTCTTATCCCCGGTTAGTTGTTAAGAGCTACCCGAATCGACGAGCCACTCGTCGGTAGACACCCCCTCAATGACGCTGAAGGCCACACCCTTGGGAGGTTTCACCTCCTTCTTCTGCTTCGGCTTGTTTCTGGCTTGCTGCACTTCCAATCAATGTGACCGAACTCCTCACAAGTATAGCACTTGAGCCCTTTGGCCCCGCTCTCATCCCTGCCGTGGCCCTTCTCCTTGCTTCCTTTCCGCCCGGCCACATAAGCCACAACGGAGTCCCGCCCACCGCCGCCCTTTTCCTTAGGCGTCTCCTCAAACCCCTGCTCATGCACCAAGAGCTTCGGCCAGATTGCATTCACCGAGCTTATGGCGCTCTTTGAAGCCTCTAGGATTGTTTTGAGGGTACTGAACGTCTTGGGCAGTCTCGCAAGCACGCTCCACGCCAACTCGTCCAATAATTCAGTGCGCGCGCAATGAATGTCCTATGCAGTAGGAACTATTCAAAAAGAACGGTCTCAGTGCGGTGGATGTTGACATGTATGCTGCTTCTTGGGAACGCACTATTGATTTAACTGATGTAAGAAGCGAAGTGGAGGGCTCCAGGAGATGCTCTCAACCTAAATCTGAAAGCTTTCCCTAAGAAGCGGGGTCTTTCACCATTGAAAGTTTCTTCACAGGAAGGCGTTGTTTGGAAACACCAGTTTTTGGGGACGTAGACCTGAAGGTCACACGCTTGCTTATGGCACTCATTTACTTGCAGCCTGGAGTGTCTTCTTACTGAGAGCAAGAATGATGTATTCGGGAAGCGCCTCGCTCGCCTTCATGCCCGCTCTGCGACGCAGCATGCGGCGTGCATTCTCGTGAAACCACTTGATCCTGTGCGGAGATGATGTCTCCTTACGAGGAAACCACGCGGGCAGCTCTGCCAACTTTGACATGATGACGGCCCCATCTAGAGGGCCAAGGCCCTTATCCTTCACAAACTGCTGCACAGCTCGCCTCCATGCGGGGTGCTTGGCCTTCCACCATGCTTCTGAAAGTTGCTTCTTTGGTTTGTTGCCAATCTGTTCCCAGATTGTCCCATCTTTTGTCACTGTGATCACAAGTGACTCAGTGGTGGTGATGCTCAGAATTTCACCCTTTACCCATTGTTCTTGCAAGAGCAGGCTCTTAGATACTTCGTGCTTGGTCCTCTCCCTGAAGCTTCTCGAAATCAGGTCATCATCTTTCTTGGAGCTGTCTGAGGAACGGATGGGCCCAGCGGGGCACCACGTCCAAGAAAAAGGGGCGGCGAAAGGCATGACGGCTGCTTGTTGCTGGGGCGCCTTCAAGCATGGGGAGGGAAACGGGATTTGAAGTTCAATATTCTGAGCACTGGTCAATCTCAACCTACCATTTGAACAACTTTCAAATTTGTACTTATACCTACAAACTTGGCGGCAGCGGCGAGCGATCTCGGTCGTCCGTTGTGCCAAGCTGCGAGCGATCTCGGTCGTCCGCTGTGCCAAGCTGGCAGTTGTCCATACACTTTTGAATCGCACGAAGCAGATTTTGCCAGCGTGGCACAACGGACGGCACAGATTGAGCGTTTTTGGCGCCAAGTCTGGCGCCTCGACATCTCAACCATGCCATGGAACTTGAATGCCTTGAATCAACTTGAAAGCTTGAAGCGGATACTTCTACTACTTGAGCGACAAGGTGAAGGCAGTCCGCCAAACATCAGCCGCCATGCGTCTCCCTTCCCCTTCTTCGCTGTGTTCTGCCGCGCCCGTTCAGACGCCGCGCAGCACGGGGATTCTTATACCGTGGAAGAGGAGAAGGCCTGGTACCACCCCAAGTTACTGGGTGTCGTGTCCTACCGGGCCCGTACGGGCGCATAGCAAGGCAGTTGCACAGAAGCTGAGGGAGGCCAGAGAGACGTGCAAGCATGAAGTAGCAAAGTGCCCAATCGTTCAAAAAGAATGGGTTGAGGGGGAAATCCTCAGCATTGCCACCAGTGAGTCACTTAAAATAACAGTAACAAAAGATGGTAAAATATGGAGACGCAGGGGTGGCAACAAAGTGAGGAGGCTGCTTGACGACGATTGGTGGAAGACCCATCACCCCAAATGGAGGCGAGCTGTCCAGACCTTTGTCAAGATGAAGGTCTTGGCCCTCTGGATGAGGCCATGATCATGGCAAAGGTGGCAGAGCTGCCCGCTTGGTATCCGTACAAGAAGTGGACGCCATGGCAAATTAGGGGGGGTTTTCATTCTATTGCAACAGACATGATCTTGAAGCGTCGCAGAGCGGAAAGGTCACTTGCCAAGGTGGATGGTGACCCAATGCTTGGGATTGAGATTGACGTGTGGAACCAGGAGCTCGCCTATCTCGACTCATGCATATGAGGGCACAAGCAGGCATTACCGTAACCTTGTTCCTGCTAAAAACCTGGTGTTTTCCAACACCACCTGCTTACAACAGAAATTTTACTGATGCAGACGGTTGTTCCTTGTGGGAACTTGTATTGCGCATGAGATTTTAAAACCTAAGCCATGGGTTGAATATTGAATGTTGCGCGCAATCGGCGCTATAAAACGTACCAGAGATCATGAAGGCGCACGCGATCCTATCACATGATTTTGCACACAGCCACCGGAGAGCCCGCGCCAAATCGGATTTGCAATAGGCACGTAGTCACATGTTGAGAGAGATTCCTTTGCCACATTGATAATTCAGCCGGCCATTTAATGCAAGAGGTTAGGTACATCAAATGTCTGCTTCCCAAGAACGAAAGGACATCTCCTCATTCGAGGTCACTACTTCGGATTGATCTATCAATAGAGGCCTCTACGGGAATCCAAAACGTACTAGCACAGAAGTTAGGTACCGTCAAAACCAAGAATATCCCAAAGTGGCCAACTGATCACGCTATCCTAAGCCCAAAATTCTCATCTAAGCGCCGGCGCTTCCCCTAAGCCTTAGCGTTCCCTTTCGCTAAGGCGCTTTGCCAATTGCATGTCTTTGGGCATGATGGTCACCCTCTTAGCGTGGATGGCGCACAGATTTGCATCTTGAAACCGCATCACCAGGTGGGACTCCGCAGCTTCTTGGAGGGTCTCGATCGCTTGAGCTTGAAAGCGCCTGCACGGGAAAGCTCAAGTGATCATCAACGAGCAAAGTCTTTCAATGCTTCTCACAATCGAAATGATGGGAAGTCGGGCAATCACAAGAAGGTGCTGCGCGCAACTTTATTCAGCTACGAGAATTGCAAGATGACATCAAAGCGGCAGTCATGCACCGCCACCAATAGATTGTGAAAGGGGAGAGCAGAGGGGGAAATGAAGAGATCATTATCTCGCAGTTTTGTGTGGACTTACAAGTCCGTTTTGAAATCCTGGGCGACCTCCCTGACCATCCGCTAAAAGGGCAGCTTTTTGATGAGATAGTCGGTTGACTTCTGGTACTTCCGAATTTCGCGCAGCGCAACAGTGCCCGGCCGATACCTATGGGGCTTTCTGTTGCCACCCGTTGTAGGCGCGCTTTTCCTACACGCTTTGGTGGCGAGTGCCTTCCGTGGGGCCTTCCCACCGGTGCTGCGCCTTGCGGTTTGCTTCATGCGGGCCATGTTGCTTGAGATTGAGGTGGCAAGACTTGGAGCAGTTGAGGAAGACTCTAGCGCAGCTTGCAGCAGAGTACTGCTAGTGCACAGCAGGTTGACTTAGGCGCAAGGACTCGTAAAGATGGACCCTTCAGTCGACAAGCGGCATATGAGTGCTTAAGCGCTAGTTTTCGGCCTCTCTTGACCTCGCCGCAACTTCAATTTCAAAGCGCCGCGGGATTTCAAGATGCTTATCGAAGTGGAGGATGAATCAGCGTTGCAAAGTTCGTGATTGGACCTTCCAACGACCGTCGAAGCGCCGCTTTGACACATTTCAAGCCTTGGAATTGACAATCATAGGTCACACTGCATGCAACTCTGTCGTGCGATCGTCACCGGCGGTCGACTTCCGTTCATCGAGTCTTTGGAGACGAAATTGGAGTGTTTGCGCACTGGTTCGACTCGGACCCACGCCACGCCGAGTCAGCTTAACTTAATCATGCTTCTTCTGGTAGCCTCGAACTTCGACTGGCTCGAAGGGTGGCAGTATTGCGTGATTGGGAAGTTGAAGTCTTCTAGCGCAGGCTGTACACAGTACTCGGCCGCCCACGAGTTGCAGGCCTTCACTCTTTCGTAATTCTTCAACGGCCTTTTCTTCCAAGGCGCCCGTTTGACTTTTCTTTAGCACAGCTCTTTTCCGCTCAAAAACATGGCGCGCTCGAAGCAGATTGCAAGGAAGAGCACCGGGGGGCTCTCCCCGCGGAGCGCCGTGGCCGCGCAGGCTGTCCGGACGACGCCGCGCCAGGTCATGAAGCCCAAGAAGCACCGGCCGGGCATTGTCGCAGTGCGCGAGATTAGGAAGTATCAGAAGTCTGTGGACCTGCTGCTGCCCAAGGCGGCTTTCCGCCGCCTGTGCAAGGAAGTCCTTCAGGGCGCGACCCAAACATCGATCGATGATAGGTGAGCACGTAATTGTGTAGATTATGGAAAAGCGGGGGAAAAGCCGCAATTGTTGATGGGCTGTTCAAGAATTGCTTTGGAGGTTGAGGAAGGTTTGTTGAAACACAGCGTT